GTATATTAAAAAAAAACTAAACTATATATAACTCAAATCCATTAATCAAAAAAGAAAGTGCATATTTTAAAGAGACGACGTGGAATATAAACACCTTTCAAGAAAGAGGACTAAAATTTACCTTAAATTATTTTATGAATTTACAAATATCATCTTACTATTATAGTTAAATGTTTTTGTCATATACTTGATTATAAAGTTGTATTTCTTCATTGATATGTTAATTCAGTATTTAATGCATTATATGAAATTAAAAACTATATTTAACTATTATCAATTTAAGCTTAATTAAATGAATAATAGAGCATTTTACCACTGCAATAACTATTTTTTAAAATAAAAAATATTAACATCAATAATTAAAATTGATTTTAAATAACTGAAATAATGTATTTGTATTAAATTTTTATTACTTTTACATATTTAATATACTTTTAAGAAATGAGAAATGGTGTAAACAAATTTGTTCAAATTATTGGTTCTCACGTTATTCCAAAATCACCTACTCTTGACATAATTAACATTTGTCATTGCTACTTTTTCTTTTGTCTCAAATGGATTGTCAGTTTATGATGTTTTTCATAAAAATTAAGAAAAACAATAAATAATTTGAAAAAATTGCTGCTTAGTAAAAAAAATGGTGTGCAGGAATTAAATATGTACAAATGGTGTGGCTATGATTTCCATCTATCTTTTATATACATACATATATATATATATATATATATATATGTATATATATATATATATGTATATATATATATTTCTTAACTTATTGTCTTTATTTAATGAAAACTCAAATATCTTCTTTTATGTAATTAGTATGGTAACCCATGCATCTAAATGTGTATTTTTTTTATTAATTTAATATTAAAAAAATTGGAATAAGATATACAATTTATAGTCTGCAAAAATTTTTAATTTGTTCATATTAAAAAATAATAATGAGAATGTTTAAAGAAATATACTTTTTACCCTTTAAAAGATAAACATGAAATTACAAATGTTTAGTTATAAATAAAGATAATTATGAGAGTTTCATTTTATATTTCTTAATTTATTATCTTATTTACGGTAATATATTTATGATTATGAAAATTCTAGTGTCGTCTTTTGCGTAATTCCTACTCATTTCATCAAACCAGATAACACTACTAACAATTTAATGAGTACAACAACTTTACTTAATATTATCCATTTGTTTCATGAAATAATCAGTGATATTATTGTGCAATGGTTTCTCTAGTTTTGATGCAGGTTTAGAGCCCATTCATTTTACACCTCTACTTCAAACGCAGATGCTGAACACTATTTTGCGTAGGACTGATCGATCTGTCACGCGGTAACTTGTCATTTTCTTCAATTTTATCAGTGGTTAGTTCCATTGTATCTTCGTTGAATATGAGGTTTCGATTTGCTGAAACAAACAATAGTTGACAAGTTGAACAAAATCTTAACCACACAACCCTTTAAAAAAATGTAAAAAATAGCCATTTGGATTCCATCTACAAATAGCAAAGAACAAAATATCACGGAATCAATGCTCGCACCTCACCATTGCATCTGACCCACCTTGCCTGCAAACCTAGCTGCTCATGAGCGCGTAGCCATTCACCCAACCATCCCATTCATATTCTTCCAACTCTCAGAGTTGTGGTTTGTCTATCACTAATAAACGAGCCATGGGTTTTGGGGTTTCTGAAGAACCTTGAAAACTTTTGCCAATTTCATGACATAAAAAAATTACAAAAAAGAAACACTTACTAATGATTACAGTCACGATCGAGTCGGCTTGAGAATAAAATAATTTGTGAATGGTTACATGACACACATTGACCAATAACTCGGAAACATTATGCTCACGATGCTATATAAATCTATCCTTAGCCATTACAACAACTCCACCATTAAATCCATGATCTATCATAGTCATATTGGATATCAGTTTCTTCAAAGGCATATGATGGAGACATGTGGACCTTAATAGAGATCTTTGACTCTCCATTATTTTGTACAACCTATGGGCCATAGAAAAGGGCAGTGTTCCCCGTATAGTGATATTACTTTTATCTTTTGTGTACAATTATTGTGCATAACTGCATATGCAATGTGGTCCATGGAAGTAGGATGTTTTCAATTAATATTCTCGTTAGAACGGGGGAGGCCTTCAGCTGAAGGATACCCCTACCACTACCTTCAAATTAATCTAAATCATAATCGATCAATCCAAATAAATAAAAATAAATGTTATTTGTCTCTGATATTCCACCTGATGAATTACCAAACAATTGTTGTTGTTTGTCCTTAGTCGTGTCCTCATCCTTACCTCCTTTTGGTCGGTCATGAGTGAGCATATGACCTCCCATGTCACTGGCGTTTATGTTTGCATATTTTGTCTTTTCGATTCCCCAAATTTCATGTAGAGTCAAAATGAGGTGAAAATGACAGGAAAAAAAATAAAATAAAATATGATTATTATATTATCTGTAGGGAACCCTTGAGAAGAAAACATCATCTTCCAGGACCGAATTCAAGAAAGAATCAAATTTATTTGCATGATTAACTAGTGTTAAAAAAAAGTTTAACATTGAACACATCATCTAATGAATAGTTTATTAACGCATGAGTATCAAACTCATTAAATAAAATGCTTATATTGCTGGATAGCAACATTAATTAATGTCTGGTCAGTTCGATTATCAAATATCAAAATAACAAACACTTTAGTTTGTGGCTCATCAATTCACTTATCACTTGAAAAAATCTTTTTGTTAATCTTATCTTTGAAAGCTAAGTTTAAGCATAGAGTGTTTTATTAAAAAAATATTTATTATATTAAAGATACAAAACATAATCAATATTTTTAATAAAAATATTATTATTAAATATTTAAACTTACGTTGAAGAGTTGAAGCCAATATTTTTAAATTTTGTTAATTTTAAGCATGTAAAAATGATAAGTATTTGTTAAAAATTACTACTTATTACTTTTTTACATTCTTAATGTAATAAATATTTTTTTTATAAAGATTATCTTTTTTTAATTCCTTAGCCTCTTCCCTTAGGCTGAGATTAATATTTTATTTTTTAAAATTATATTATTAAAACATTTTATTGATATCCCAAAACTGACATTATAAAAAATGTCATATTAATAGATTAGAAAGTTAGACATAAAACTTGCTTTTATTATTATTGAATAGTAATTTAATTTATTTAATGAAAAAATATTAGTATGATATATTGGTGTACATTTATTTTTTACACGAATGAAATATCGTCCATTAATAAATATATATTTATCTATTTGTATATATATATATATATATATGAGAAAATCTTGAGTAGGCTTTACTCAAGCAAATTCTACACAAGAATCTGTCATTTTAGTACATATTACATTATTTTTTCAATCAATCAGGCTTGCTCCTCCACCCTCATCCCCTTCCCTTCCAAAAGTAAAGGTTTTAAGTACGGGAAAGGTAGGTAAGTATGATACGGTTTATTGGTTGTGTAGCTTGGGTTCTGATTGGAGACATATTTTGCTGTATAATAATCAAACATTGATAAAGTAACTTGCCATTTATTTAAACTCGTAGCCTTTTATTGACACAAATAATAATAAAAAAGAACTGGTAGTTCTTTTACTCTATTATATTTTAATTTGATGCTAATTTACTAATGTTAGATTTTTATTACCTAATATTTAAAGATTTTCAAAGTTTCATAAAAAGTATTTTGATTATATTTTTAAACAATGTAAGATGTCTTAATACAAATTTTTTACATCTAGCACTGACATCTAAGGCATGAAATGCATTTTTGGATCTTCAATGGTAGACTCCAAACATGCATTATTAACTCAGAAGCTACATTTTGTTGTGTTTATTGAATCCACGATGCAGGATAATGAAGCAGAATTCAAACACTGTAAAAGTTTGTTGATTTACAGATTTACAACGGACTCAACATTCAAATATAAATTCTAATACTATATTAAAAATTTGGGCCTAACATATTCTTAAAAACTAGTTCATTCAAAGACAATTTTCAATGACGAAAAAATAAAAATGCCTTATAAAGTATATTATGGCCATATTCTTAACTTATGTAAATTATTTTAACACTATCTTGAGGCAAGATTAAAATGTATGAATTCACACTGTTTTAGTGTTTAGATTATTTGGTGACTACTAATATCAACCACATAAATAACATTAAGACAAATTATATTTTGTTTCCTTCAACATGATTTCGTTATTTTAAATTACAACTTCAACTTATAAGTTATTTAAGTTTATAGTATAATGTTTTAACGTTGTTAATCTGTTTAATTTAAAATTATTTAACTTTTAAAATGTTAATATCAATCTTTAAAGTTGGGTTTAAGTAGTTAATAATAATATTTTTTTAAAAAAATAGTTATTATATTTTTATAACTTTAATACAATTATATTTTTTTTCAAATAAAAATAATTAATAATCACATTTAAACACTTCAACTTAACCCTAAAACTTACAGTTAACAAAACCATTGTCTAACGGAAAAACTCAAACAAGTCCCTAATGTATAAACATGTATCAACACTTATTTATTACTTTTTATTTTCTTTCTATCTCTTTCTTTTCATCACATAACACTACTGATAACAACTATTACTTTTATCTCTTTTAATTCTTTCACTTTTACGGTGAGTGTCTAAAAAACATTTTCCTTTAAACTACTGTTCTAGCTGTGGCTGCCGTTGACGTTGCAACGGAAATGTTGCAGTTGCACTGTGTGAAGCCGTCTGCGATTTCAAACACTAGAGTCTGCATGTATCATTGAAAAAGAAAATTGATTGATACATGTCAAGTGAAATAGATCCAGCGGTGGGATTAAATAGGTAGCATATAACAAATTAAAATGAAGTTCTGGAAAAGCTAGCGGTAGGAAAAGTAGATGGAGAACATAGATGGTAGATTGTGTCTCTTGTAAAAGGAAAGTAATAGAACAGAATCTATTTGTTGGTTAACGTAAAGTTAGGGGTTTTGGAGGATAGCAGCCACTTGGTGAAGTTTGGCAGTGTAGCTTGGTCTGCTCTGTAGTACTTTTGTGTAAATTGAAGCAACTCTGACCATGTAAAATCGGGATATTGTTTCGTCCCATCCACGAGAACGATATTCTCCGGGGCTCTCACCACCTTGTCTTCTTTGGGGCACAGAAAGAACGCCAAGGACCTTCTCTCCTTGTACTTGTTAACCACTGCCCTATGCAGGCAACTTTTGTATCTCCCATTTGATAATGCCTGCACAACCAACAAATATGTTCTTACCTAATTGACCATATACATACAAACTTCCAAATTATTCACGGCATAAATATAACCCTTCTAATTATTTATTGAAAATTACGTAAGTCTTTCTTTTTTAATTTAATGATCTTTTTAAATTTTATAAATTTTAATTAATAATTAAAAACCTCATAATACACGTACAAGGATAACTCTAACCTTCTCGATCTATTCTTAGCCAGAGTCTAGTTTTAGCCCCTATCTCTCTTTTTATATATCTATTTATATATATAAAAAGCATTTTAAGTGAGAAGAATTTGTATTATAAGAAGTGAAAGACATTAATAATGACCATTAAATTAAATAATTAGTAAGAGAGAAAAAAAAGTGATATATATATATATATATATATATATATCACTTTTTTTTCTCTCTTACTAATTATATATATATATATCCAAAACCCAGTAGTAATAACACTTTATCAGCTCATTTTATTTTTAATCTGGCCTTCGGGCTAAATAATAAAAGAAGAAAAAATAGGTAGCGTATAAATTAGTTTCCTCTATCCCTTATTTATAAGACTAAGGGAGACATATATGGCGCTATTGCCTCTAGGTCAGGTATATGTAAATTGCTGGCTAATAAGTAGGATAAAATGGCGTAGTTCTAGGTTATGCGAGAAGTTTTTATACCCACGTGTGACACTGAAAAAGAACAAGGTGCATGATCAATACTTGATAGTACAAGATGAGATTAATATCATGACACAACGTAAATTTATTACTTAAATGCAGATAAAGAAAACGACACCCCAGTTAGAAAAGAAAAGTGCTAGCTTAGATAGTTTTATTTTTGACAACTTATGTGCCGACTTATATATTTTAGTTTTAACACTGAGAGTCAATTATCTAATTATCTAGGTTTCTTAAGGGTATATTTAATAATATGGACATATTTGTCATAATAGGAAAAAAAATTCCATCTTTTGCTGAGCTTGATAGGTGTGTAATCTGATCGATCACATGGTTTAAAAGTTACTTTCGAATAATACCTTTTCTGCATTGTAATCTATACATTTATCCTTTATACATCTTACAAAAACAAAAAATCAAAGTGTTCATTTAAACGTCTCAAAGGTCAGACAAGCACAAACAGGAATGACCTCAACTAACCTAATTCAAGAGTCAAATGTTTAAGATATCCTCGTACCTCAGCCTCATGTGAATCTATACATACTAATTATAATCAAAGTCAAGGTTGATTCAGCAGGATTTAAGGGGGGTTGTTTGTTTAATTGGTTAAGCAAATTGTAGGAAAAACTTATAAAAAGAAAATCAAATTGTAGGAAAAGCTCCCCCTATATATTGGTTGAGATAAGAAACTAGGATAAGATCAGGCACCCAATATTGTCGAGTCACATTGAGGTTGGGTTATGGCCAAACTCAATAGATGATAAACTGCCCCCAAGTTGAGTGATACCAAGGTTAGTTTATAATCGAGCTCGGTATGAACAGCACACAATCCCTAAGCTTCGAGCTATGGGTAGCGATCGATGAAGCGTGATGGGTATCAAAGTCAGGTTACGGTCAAACTTTCAGTTTAATAGTACACGAAGCAAATTTCTCTCTCTAGAAATAAATATAAAGAGGATTGCAAGATTTTAGGTATCCCTCTAACCTGGACCATCCATCAAATGTGCTGAAGAAAAGTACATGGGCTATAGTTAATTTGGCTACTTCTATACTAATTTGCCTCATAACGTGTGAGTTAAGAGGTTAAAGTGATAGAGGCAAAGTAATATTACAAAATAACGACATAACAAAAGAGTAATATAAGAAAAAAAGTTGAATCTAAGTATGTGTATAGGACCTACCATGAAGGTGTCTCCAATGTTAACTACAAACGCATCAAGACGAGGTCGAACCATCTTCCACTCGTTGTCTGCAAATACATGAAGTCCTCCAACTTGATCTTGGTAAAGTATGGTTATGGACGTTGGGTCACAATGCGGTCCTGTCCCCAGTGCAAGATTCGGTTCTTGGCAACGTGGATAATAGTTGCATCTCATGATCGACCATCCTTCTTCAAACAACTCCTTGTAATGCAACCCATTCACCCCTAAGCTTATTGCCAATAGCTCTGTCAGCTTTACCCCCAACTGTTTCATAGCTCTACAATACTTCTCGAATGTCACCCTGTGGAGTTCACAACGTACACATCACAGATCATGACTAACTAGATGTATGTTGTATTTTAATCTTTATCATTTTTTTTATATTTTATTTACACTTTTATCTCTCTCTTCTATTCTTGTCTCTTTATTTATCATATCTCCACTTTTTTTTTCCCGCTGCTTATCATTGTCGTATATTCTCATATCACTGGTAATGATTCTTACTGCTTGTCTTTCAATTCCATGAAAGAACATGCCAAAATTTAAATAAATTCCTAAAAATTGAAAATCTCATTCGTTTTTATTTTTATTTTTATTTTTTAGTATTTCAATAAAGATTAAAATATACTTTAACGTGTATCCAAATGACATACGTTAAAAATAAAAAATTATAATATTTGTTATCTAAGATTTTAAAAAAATATATTCAATGCATATTTTTTATAATACATATTTTTTTTACAATAATTTAAAATATTATGTATATAATACTTTTAACATGTATACTTGAACACACATCAGAAAATTGATTAAAAAATATTATTTTAAGCCAATAAAAGAAAATGAAGATGAAAACAAAAGCACATTAGTCATACCCAGCTTGTTCAAAGTCTTCCCCTAAGGTGGATTTAAAGTAGTTTGTGACAACAGGCTCTAAGGTATTGTCATGGTAGGGGAAAGAGAAGGTTTCCTTCCAAGGCAATTTGGAGGAGAAGCGATCAGCATGAGCACCAGAGTAGCCCCACATGGAACCGGGTTTCTTATGAACACTTAATTTCCTTTGAACTGGGAGCTTAAAGAAAGTGTCCATTTGATCACATGCTTCACGAATGAGGCACGGATCAACCCCGTGATTGATCACTTGGAAGAAACCATAGTTCAAGCAAGCCCCATTAATAAGCTTAACAGCACATTGTGTGGCCTCATAGTCCCCCTTGAGAAACCCTTCAAGGTCCACCACTGGTGCTTGGAGTTCGTCTTGGGCATCCACTAGGTACTCCTTTGGCCAAATGAAATTTTTTGGCACGTGTGGCAGAGCCTCAAGTTCAGACCACATGAGACCCGAATCCATGGCACAAGTGATTAAGTATTGTACTTAGACTAGGATCCTAGAAGAGATGGTGCACACTGGGCAAGCCATATATAGCATGTATTTATAGATAGAGTTGAGATAGAGAATATATGATCACTAGCTAGCCAGCAACTACAATAAAACCTTTTAGAATCTATTCTTTTAAAATAAAACAAAACCTCTTTGAGCATGATATCTCATAACTATTGCCGTGAAATGACTTCACACTCATGGTCGCAACAAAAACTCCCTCAATAATTTTAATTAGGGCAGGAGAATAAAATATTAAAGATATGTGTAAGAGTAATATTAAAATAGAAATAAAAGAAAAAGTCAAATTTTGATCTTCAATAAGATAATAAACTTACTTAAACTTATAATATCTCAATTTTTTATTTATTTTTATAAAAATATATAATTTTTAAAACTTAAATTAAAAAATTATACTTTTTTTTTTCTTATTTAAAATCTCACTCCATAAGATGACGAGACATTGGGTATTGATGTGTGGGACTGGAAGTGCATATTTTTGCCACGTTTCGCCTTGACACAGTTGGGGTTGTGGAAGAAAACAAAAGGAAGTTGGGGTTGTGGGGGGCAAAATAAAAAAAAAAGATATTTCTTTTCCGACACCTAATTTTTTGCATCTAAAATAATGTAAAGAAAGACGAACAAAGAAAAAAATAAATAATAAATATAAAAGTTCTAGAAATAAAATAACTGCCATTGCATATCGTTCTTTTCATTCTTTTCTTTCTATCACTCTTGTTACGAAAAACAAGATCGATTGAGATTGGGCTGAACGTGTGTTTCTCTTCTATCACTCGAAAAGATAAAGAAATTTAATCAATTTGATTTGGATATAAATTTTGAAAATACCGTTTAATTGGATATACAAAATTTTTAAAATGAAAGTATATGGAAATGGCTATTCAAAAGCCTCTAGTGTTGTTCTTTTTTCCTTACGTCTCTATTTCTAAATAATATAATTAAGATAACCAAACTATGCAGTATTTTATAGAATCCAAATATGCACGCCTACCATCCTATCACTCCATGCCTAATTTAATATTAATCTCGAACTTTACTATAAAAAATGAGAGTATCTGAAATCCTAAAATTAAAGTTTCAACTTTCAATGATCCAACTATAAAACAAAAGCAAGGCCTGTTGTATAGGAAGTAGGAAAGTGATCACTCACAAAGAGAAGCATGAATTGAGAGTAATCGGTATAATGGCCTGTAAGTTGTAACTATCAATTGCCATAAGTCCAAAGTACAATTATAAACTTATACCCAACATTTTAATCTTTTTCTCTTTCAGTATATAAAATTGAATTCATGCATATCACAATTATGGAAAGGAGAGCTTTTTTTTAGGAAAAGAGGGGATGGCAAATTTTTTATTTTAAATAAATATATTTATTATTTATTTTTTTAAATATAAATATAAATTGATACATTTACATGAATTTAATATATTAATCATGCACTTATTATTATAAATTATATATAAATTTTTAATTAAAAATTAAAATTATTAAAATATTCTCTTCTCTTTTTTCTCTCTAAAAATATTTTCTCAAAGATATGAAAATTTCATATAATTTAGCTCTCCCCTTTCTATAATGCTATGTTTGGATCAAATAAAAGATGAATAAAAAAAAGAATAAGTAAAAAAAAATGTAAAAAAGATCAATAAAAAATGAGAAAGAAAAAAAATGTGTTTTTTGAATAGATAAAAATATGAGACAAAAGTGATAACATTTTATTTGACTTATTTAGATTAGTAAAAAAGAGACTAATATTATTTGACTTGATATAAGCGATTTTTTCAAAGACTTTATAAGCGATTTTGTGAAAATGATATTTATAAAAAAGAGTAATAAAAGAGAGTAACAAAAGCAATTTTTTTCTTATTTGAATTATTTGATTAATAAAAAAAAAGAGTAATAAAAGATATTTTATTTTAAAAAGTTTGTAATAACAAAAAAAAATTATTTTGATTAAAAAGAATTTAATATAATATCCTTTCCTTATGTATTTTTAAATTATTTTTAATATTTTTACATTTTTAAAAAATTATTTTTAATAAAATATAAAAATTAAAACAAATTTCAAGTCTCACTCTACCTAAAATCTCACCATTTTATTTGAGAAAATAAAATCGTGAACTCCACATAAAAGTTATTTTTCACTCAAATAAGACAAATCATCCAGACATATGAAAAAAAACATTTCTTCTGCACTTTTTTATTTCTTTTTTTTTTTCACCAAAACTAATAAAACATGAAATATTTAAAAGAAATTTTTTAAAAATAAATAGAAAAATTATTTTTATTTTACTTTATTTTATTAATCATCTTAAATATATAAAATTTATTTATTTCTTCTCCTTTACAATTACTTCTTTTGTAAAGTAAACAATGTATCCCTACCTTTTATTTTAAAAAAAAGTTTCCTCTTTTTTTTTCTATTAAAATATCTCTTTCTTCCTTTTCTTGTAAACCAAACAATACATAAATATTTGGATTTAATTGATTATTTTACAGAAATTTTACTCAGAATAGACCATTCTTTCTAAAAGCAATAATATATTTTACAGTCTTTGAAAGATAAATATCATTTTGCCGTCAACTATATGCCTTTTTCTTGTTTATATCAGTAATATAACTATTATGACTTAATAAATTCAAGTATATATTTTTATAAATATCATATAAGCAATATACTTCAAGTATATTTATATGTATAAAAAAAATCATATAAGTAATATTATTGTTTGAACTTATTTTCAAAATATTAAATTTTCAACATTATCTTTATCTTTTAATATAATTGCTGATATTATTATTGAAGAAATACTAAAATAAAAAATATTATATTCAAATAAAAAAATATATTTAATTAGCTCCGTAAACGTTATCATTTTCACAAAATGAACACTCCAAACTTTCCGTTTCATTCCAATAGTCTTTAAATTTCATAAATTGAATGAGCAATTTTTTAAAAAATTGGAGTTAAGTTAGTAATGCAGCAACAATTTTTACCGGTGATTTTTATAAAATTTATTTAAACTAAAGTTGATTTTGGGTTAAACCTAAAAATTGCAATTAAACTTCTAAGACCGTCATTATTAGTCAAAATTTAATGCAAACGTGACATTCTTGAACACATTCAAAGTTACTGTTGTCTTGAATAAATCATAATTTGAACTATTCTCATTCATGTGAGTACCTAAGTAACTTAATCGTTAATTATGTTCGAATACTTTTAATATATGATTTTGACACTTCTAATAAATTACAACTTCATTTAACATGTCATGCATTATCATGCAATGATAAAAATATACTCCCACATTCAATAGCTCATGACAAAACTATTAACACCAATTTATAAAAGAAAAATGTTCTCAAGACAAATATACTTTTTATCCTAATCCAACTCTAAAATTTAAGTAAATTCTTTTAATTTGAGCATTAGAGTATTTTCTGCTAGAACAAGCTCCATTAAAACTTACTTGAAATTTTAACCATCGTCAACCACTATAAAAGATCATTTGTATAAGAGGAACTACTCACTTTAACCATCGTATACTGAACAACAATAATAATGTAAAAATATTTTATAGTATTATTCAACTATTAACAATCAAATCCTTGATAATTAATAAATTTTGTAATAACAGTTTTAAAATTATGTCTACATTGTTGACTTTTAGTTAATTGATAATGTAAAAAAATTTATACTGATAAGATACTCCTTTTGTTATTTTTATTTTTCACTTAAGATTTTTCATATAATATTTTAAAAATATTTTATGTCTTAATTTATATAAAATTTTCTATATGATTTCTAATTAATTAACATAGTGTTAAATGTTTAAAGTAATTCATAATTTTATAAAAGTATAATAAAAAAAGAAGGAATAATTTTCTAATACAACACATGAAAAAGGGTAGGGATGACAAAGTGATCAGTTATTTCCCTGCCATAAAACGAGTGAGCCTATCACATCCTATTTTCTAAAATAGACTAAATTCTTTAGCATGACTCGTTTAAGAATGTGTTAATAGACTAACGACTAACTTGCCAAAATTAAAAGAAAACAACAATAAAAATAGATTCAAAGTGAATTAATGAGTTGACTTACTGAAAATTAATGTAAAAATAAAAAATAAAAAATAAATAAAATTAATAAATAATATTTAAATAATAATATTTATATTAAAAAATTAATATTTAACTAAGAAATAATTATATTGTATTTTAAAATTTTAAAAATAGATTTAATTGAGTACCATTTCACTTTAACATGTCATTTTAGCGGAATTAAAATAAAACAAATCATAGACGAGTTAACAGATGTAGATAAATTATTTAAAATAATTTAAAAAAATAAAAATAAAATTAGAAGATAAAATTGAATTTTATCTTTTAATTGAACAATGAAAACGCTAATTTTACTTAAATTGATGAAATTATTTTAAATTTATTATTCATGCAATTATTGAATAAGGATATAATAAAAATAAAAATTTGGACGAACCTTAAATGTTTAAAAGAATAATAAATTTAAAATAAAAGAAAAGTTTTAAAAATTTATAATTTTAAAATTGAGAGAGTATATGTTAAAAGAAACTTAACCAATGATATAAATTATATTTTTTTATTAGATCATCTGTCTTATTGTTTCTTTTTTCACTCATCCAATAAGATTGAGTTATAAAAATTTTCTGCATAAATTTATCATACATTCATCATTTTTCATCAAGGAATATATAAGTTAACCTAAAATATTGGAATCTGGGTAATTTCTTTGGTAACGATTTGTCCTTTCGTTTTTGGGTTGTCAAATCCTGGATGACTGTTGAGTGATCATTCAATAGTATATGAATGTGTTATGAACACCAACGAACGAGGGATCAGTTGTATTGACTTTTAGCTAAATCCTTGAACTTTGTCTTTTGCTACATCCACGTCCTCTATTATATGTTTATTTCTTGTCAGACTCATATTCAGGTTATTTTATTTATTTTAATTTTTCTTTTCTCTTTTATTTTTATCATACTATTATTATAATTTTTTTTTCTTCTCCACATTCATATCACATTCTCTATAAAATGTAAAATATAATTATTCAATTTGAAAATATTCCGAACTTTATTATATATGTTTTATTTTGATCAATATATAGTTTATTTAAATAAATTGTGCCTAATTATAAAAATAAATTTAAATTTAAATTTATAAATTTGTTGAGAGAACTAACTCTACTGTATCGTAAATATTTTTTATTCAAATAAAAGTATTTTTATCCTATGCATCTTGGAAGTGCAAAAGCATGCCTACATTGAAGACGGCAACTTGGAATAAACAACACGAAAAGCAAAGCACAACAACTTTAGCCTGATGACCCAATGACTAAGCACAAACTGATCCAATACACCAGTTTTTACTTTTATAATTTAGCTTTTGAAAGCATGTTTAATATATTTCAAAATTTATTTATAAATCGCTTAGAATTTGATTTCTAAGAGGTATAAGATCATAATTAAATTTTCAGAAATAATTTCTTATTTATTTTTCAAAAAATGTACAATTATTTTCAAACGATAAAATTTTTGTGTAATTAAATATATTTCCAAAAATTAAATTTAAAAAATAGTATGACCAGCAAAAATAAAAAGGGCAAAATGTAATCCCCACTAAATATATGCCACTCAATGACCTTAATTCTCTATAGTTGGGCCTGGATGCTTAATGTAAGAACTCGATTGAATTTGTGCATTCATTTAACCAAACCTAGCCAATTCAAATACTGGGCCGGCACATAAGATCTGCAATGATTATTACTATTTCATTTCCTTCACGCATATAGCTAGTTTAATGAATTAAAATTTTACATTCAGCACACACCAATTATTTTTCTTTGCAAAATTATTTGTTTTATTAGCAACTATGTTGATGGTTATGGGGTATGCAATGAGAATGTTTATATTATAAATCACGCAATACCGTGGACCAGCCCAGTGCTTTTGCATAGGTAGTCTCCATATCTATCATTGAATATCTTACTTCTATTCTCTCTTTAATTATGTTAGCCATTTTTTATTATGAATTTTGCATTAACATTTCTTGATTAATTCTGTGTATTAGTCTCATAGACTAAAACCACACACAAGATTCTAGTGTAAAAAATAAAATAACCCAAGTAGTAAAACAGTATAAATAATACATCCAATCGAATATCCATCGTTTAATTTGTGATTTGAGCATGAGTTCTGTATCCATGTCTTCGATCTCTCTACTACCTTCAGGGCTCAATTGGTTCGATTTTAACTTTCGTTGGCTCACATTGGAAAAATTTTGCTTTGAAAAATCAAGCTGTAAATGTAATTTCATGTCTTTAAAATCGTGCAAACTTTAATTTGAATTTTAATCAAACAGTCACTTTCATGTTCCTTGTAGTGGTATTTTAATATTACTAGTACCGTTTTGCTTAGAACCTGTCAGGCTCATAATTTGTTAATTATATTTATATCCATATCTTTCGTTCTTTCAAGGAATTGCCCATTTATTTTGAAGTCCAACCAGTGAGAATTTTTAACTACTCTCCAAGCTAGAACTACATCTACTAGATTCTACTTCATTAAATCATGACAAGTGAACATTGTCATCATATTATTATATTATATTAAAACATCAATAATAAAACTGAAATGAAATTCAATGGTTGAATATTACATTCTAACGTTACAGAAGGATTTCTTTCATCGTGCTCAAACAAAACAAATTCAAACCAGCCACAAAACACACGAGTGTTTTATGTAATCTTATACATAGAAGTTTGAAAACATTAATTTCTTCAACCTTGGAAACTTCTAGCGAGTTATGAGTAAAGTATAACAAATATTCAACAAGCCCAAAAAGAAAGAAAAACAAACAAACAAAAAAATCAGTTTCGAACTTTCTATGAACACCAAAGCATATTAATCTAGGACACAATTTTTTTTTACAAAAAGATGAAACAGTCCAAGGAGATAAGAGGGTTGTCAATATCCTCCATAGGAATCACGTCCATGTCATGATCAGAGAGAACATCCTTAGCCACGGTTTCATCAATTTTAGAACCAACTCTGAAAGCGCAAGTCTCTCTATGCCTCAAACCACACTGAACCCGCGGCAAACTATTATTCGGACTTGCTGGTTTAACACTCTCTTTCCTCAACGATGACAAAGCAGAATGAGAATAAACCGAACTAACACTAACCTTGGGACTATTCATCACACGCTTCGGAACACTATTATCCGCGATCGTAGTAGCCAAATTAGCACTTCCACATTTGTCCCCATTGAATCTTCTGCTTGGAGAAGGTGACTCTAGTGTTCTACTATGCATGTTGGACGCAGAATTAATAGCAATAGACCTCTCCGGTTCCTTTCGGAAACTCTTCTGCCTAGTTAGATTCATTGGTGAGTTTGATCGCACCCTCTTTCGTGGCATTGAAAATGACCCAACAAAGTTTTGTGGTGGAGACTGCTTTACTGTTGCGAAGTTGGGTTTCGGTGATGATGGGTTCAGGTTTAGGTTTATCTTCCTATATTGAGCTTTAGGTTTTGTTGGTGGCATCAAGGAAAGAGTGGCTTCCCTGAGTGAGTTGATACGAGTGATGTGAGGGTTGTCCTTGTAACACGACCATAGGAACTCGTTGGAGAAGGATCTGTCCTTGGAGCTCAAAGTTGAGGATGCTGTTGATAAGGAAGAACCTGAGGAGATGGTGTTGGAAGTGGTGCAGGTGAAGGATGAAATGGAGGAAGTGGAAGAGGTTGGTGATGGAGGGGAAGGTGAGATTTTTGTTGAAGAATAGAGGGTTGGTGTTGGTGGAGCTTGCGAGATGACAAGCTTGTCTTGAACATGGTTGAAGTGGTTTTCTTCTACCGTGTGTTTGTTGGGCCTGCATTTGCTAATGCAGCAACCCATTTGGTTGAGAAATGAGGTACAAGGAGATGTGGATGGGAATGGATATGAGGAAGAAGAAGAAAAAGAATGGGATTTGAAAGATTAATAATATAGCATTGGAAGTTGCATTTGAAAAAAGGAAGGGAAAGTAAGTGAGTGTCTTTTGCTTTTGGTGTATTTCTCTTTAGCTTTTCAGAGTGTGTTTGTTTGAATTTGATTACCGGGGATGGGTTCCGTTGGCTAACGGTTATGTAGAAGAAATGGTGGTAGTTGCTATCATCACTCGTTGCTTTTGAGTTTTGAGTGCTTAGAGAAGTCAAGGTAGGGTCTTTGCATGTATTGTGCAATGCCACAATGTTTTGGGCCAACACTTCTACCACTACCTCTCTAGACTCTGCTTCTATTGAGTTTCTTTTGTTTGTTGTTTCCTTTCTTTACTTGCTCCATTCTTTTCACCTGTTTATAGGAACAGCCCAAGCCCTCTGCCTCTTACAAATGAAATTTGTTCCCCCGTCGTTTTGGTCCATGAAGTTTGCCCATTAACAGATTAAAACACAACCAAAAATATTAAATTCAATCCTTAGAAACAAGTTTAAAAACTGACTAATATTAATCTTTTATTAAAAATAAGGTATTTTATTCTTTTGTATCTTTAATATAACAAATGATTTTATTTAGAAAAAACACATTTAAATACTTAAGCTTAACTCTAAAAATTTATGACGACAAAATTAAAAAAAAAATTATAATTATTACTTCAAAATAATATCATAATAAATTTTAATTGGTGATGGTATAAAAATATTGATACTGATAACATGTTAAAATTAAATTTAATAATTAATTTTGTTGCAATGATATAGCGAAAATGTGTTTAAGAAAATTATCTTTTAAGAATAAAAAAACGTTTTTCTAAAAATTAAAGGACTCGTCACCAAAGTTTATTACAGAAAATCTTGAAAAGATTTTGAAAAATAATTTTTGAAACAAAAAATGAGTCCCAAAGTCATTTACGTGTAAAGAAAGTGTTAGCATTCTACAACGTTCATTTTTTAAAAAATCAGTTACCTTAAATTAATTGTGTAAATTTATTTTAATTTTAAAAAATATTTATTTAACTCCTAAACAATAATTATTATATTTTTTATTTTAAAAGAAGATAAATTATCTATTAAAATGTTGATGAATACCTTAAAAAATTATTTTAACTTGATAGGTCCGATTCTTGCTCCTACGTATCTCCGGATGCAATGAAGAACTCAAAGTCATGTAGTTCTATAAATAAATTATGAAGTTGATTAATTAAAATTAAGTTTAGTAAAGAAGATTTATTTTGAGATTTATTTATAAAATAATATTTAGGATATAAGATAACACAATTATACACGTATCCTACGAGAAATAATACAAAAGATAAGAAAGATCACACAACTATATTATAAATTGTTAAAATATTTTTTAATTTTTAAATAAAATATTTGAATTTATATTTTTAAATTATAATTAACGTTGAAAAAGAATTTAAGATAACGTAAGCTATATATAAATCTTTTATAATTTATTGAATAATCAAAGGTAATGTAAATTACACATTGATATTGTAGAAATTTGTATAAATAAGTAAATAAATTTTTAATTATTTAATTTATCAAAATTAAAAGTATAACTTAAGAAATTTTAAAATATGAAATTAATTTTATTTTAATAAAAGAAATAAATTTATTTAAATTGATTAAAAAAGATACTTATTTAATAAAAAGATTAAAAATTTCATTTAATATATTTATATTATATAAAACCTAAGATAACGTTGGTACACATAGGTTTTTGACAATTTATAACGCATAAAGGTAGAGTCGCTACATGTTAGCATTATAAATTATTTCATTAATAAAATAGTTGATTTATTCGTAAGTTAGTAATTAGAAGGAGAATATATCTTGATTTATTATTAAGGTGGTTAACTAACTAATTAAAGATAATATATGATAAATTAATATCGCATAAAGTTTTGGTAACGTAAGTACAAATAAGTTTTATTAATTTATAATACATGACGATAAAGAAACTATACGTTAGTATTATAAATTGATGCAATTATATTATTATTTATTAATTGATTATACTAAAAAAAAGTAATTTACTATTTAGAATATAAGAGAAAGTAATCAAAAATATAAAATTAAATCACATCAGTATTCTATAAATATACAATAAATAAAATAAAATATAACAATCCTAAAGAATAAATAATCAATATGTTAATTAAGATATAAACAATGAAATATAAAAAAAAATGAGAAGAATTTATTGTTAATGTTAAGATGAGATAAATTAAAAAAATTCAAATATAATATTGTAAAGTAAGTAGTATCAAGAGAATTAAAATAAACAAATAAATTAAAATCAAAAACTTTTATTTAAAATAGGCTAACATAAAAAATAAAAAATAAAAAAATAATAAGAACTCATTCATTAAATAAATTAATAATTATCATAATAATAAATAATAATATTACTAAAAATAATAATGATGAATAAATAAATAAAACTGAAATAAGAAATTGTATGTTGAGCTAAATAATAATAATAAAAAATAAATAAATAAATTCAGACCAAAAATATAATAAAAAATAATAAAAAGAGTAAAATAGTCCAAAATTTAAAATTTTCAGATTTGAAGGAAAAGGACTTTAGGGTTAGGGGTGTGCTTTTCTCTAAGAAAAACAAAAGTGGTTATGAAATGATGGAGGTGAGGTTAATGGAAGCCATGGTTTTGGGTAATGGAGGTTTGTGTGAGAAAAAGGAAGACAAAGGAGGAAGGATAGGGAAGGAGCTTCTATGGTGAATTTTGTGTTTGTGGATGATCATGGATGGAAGAATGGGTGGAGAGGTGGTGGGACTTGGATGTTTGAAGTAGTGGTTTGAAACCTTTTTTTTTTTTTTTTGTCATTTGGGATTGATTTGATATATGAAATGTTTATTCAAAATATAGATATGCATGAAAAAGGAAAAAAATGTATAAAATGCATGATAAAACTTGATGTTTTTGAAATTTTTGTTTACCTTTTGTTCTTTCTCCTTTCCACTAGCCCTCTTATTTCTATATTTTTCTAAAAATCTCTCCTCTCCAAAATTTTTGAACCCCTTTCTCATGGTTTCTCTCCCTTCTTATTGCTAGGGTTTTCATAAAATGCCAAAAATCTAAAAATCTCCCTTTTTATGTATAAAGTGACATTGGTTTAAGAGTTTGATTATTTGTCATATTCTATTTCCTTTTAAAAATTAATTCTGAATTTTTTCTATTTCATTAAGACAAATTTTTATTTTTTTCTTTAAAACCCTTTATTTCCATTCTCCTTTTGTAATATTCAAATTCAGATTTTTTAAAATCAAAATTTTAGTGTTCACAATTGTCCCTCTTTACTCAAATTTTATCAAATAATATGAATGAACAAGTTTCATATTAGAGTGATGAATTTGAGTAAAGAGGTGAACCAATTTTGGTTTAAAAATGATAAGATACATAAAAAGAAAAAGACAACATGAGAAGCTATCAAAGAAATCATGATTTGTAATGGTTTGTGTTTAACAAATAATAACAAGAATTATAAGACAACATTAAGCTTTGGCTAAAAATTAAGGTTGCAAGGCAGATAATGGACTTAAGCTTAAAATAAAAGTTACATATGAAGTAAATTAGGTTCTGAACTTTTGACAATAAAGTAAAAGGAACCAGCTAGGTTCTGGACTTCGATAGATAAATGAAATGTGTTAGGTTCTGGACTTTGACAGAGAAGTGAAATGTGCTAGTCAGGTGCTGGGTTTTTGATAGAAAAGTGAAATGTACCCAGTCAGGTTCTAGACTTTGACAAGATTGTGAAATCTGCTAATCAGGTGTTGAGCTTTGAGAGAAAAAAGAAATGTACCAGTCAGGTTCTAAGCTTTGACAGAGAAATGAAATGTGCCAGTCAGGTTCAGGGTTTTGACAGAAAAGTGAAATGTGTTAGTCAGGTTTTGAATTTTGAGAGAAAAGTGAAATGTGCCAATTAAGTTTTGAATTTTGACAAAAAAATGTAAAAAGACTTGGACAAAAAAATTAAAGAAAGTCGATCAAGTTCTGGTTTACAAAAGAAAATAAAAAAGACAGTCAGACTCTGGACTTTAATAGTAAAAGTAAGACAAAAAAATAAAGAAATCAATCATCCTCTGAATTCTATTGAAAGGTAAAGTATCGAGTCAAATCTTGGACTTGGACTGAAAATAAAGGTTGTGAGGAAATTAAACTTTAAAAGGTGATAATGGATAAAAACAAATACATGTTAATGTAAAGATGTGATTGCACAAACTTAATGAATGTTAAGACTTGGAATGAAGTTATTGCATGATCAAGTCAAATGCTATGATAAGACATTAAATCAAAATAAACTCTTCTTTCTTTCTTTTTTTTCGAGGATTTTAATTTTTCAACCTTATCAGAACATGTACCTCAAGGTTTAGGAATGAGTTAGCTCTTCGGTCAGAACCAATTCTTTCATGAAATCTGAGTTGGTGAGACATCAATCAAATTAGAATGTCATTTATTTTTGAATTGTCATAAAGAGTCAACTTCTTCTGTCACGCTGAATTTATCAGAAAATTCATCAAACTTACTGTGTGGATTCTTAGAGCCTATTATTGTAATTATATTTTCTTATTACTCTTTCAACAATTAACATGTTTATTTTTAATATACAATTACTGAAATGACAATTAAATTGTTGGTTCACGCACTACAAGAAAAAATAAATTTAGCTACGAAAATTAGCTATGGAATTATTCCGTAGAAAATTCCTAGCTAATTACCTAGGGATAAAAATTTCATAGCTAAATTTACAAAAATAAGTGGCACCTTATGGCGGGAAAAAATTACTTCGATTTAGCTATAGATTAACTACAGGGTTTTGTGTAGCTAAGAAATTTTTAATTTAGCTACGGATTAGCTAGAAAAATTTTTTGTAAGAAAATTAACTTACAGTGGA